GAGGAAAAGTAAACCTACTGGCAGAACATTCATGACTCAGTGCCATCAGGCTTGTCTTCCTACCATTTAAAGCCCTGGGCTCAGGCTGCGTGCGTACACACACACACACACACACACACACACACACACACACACACACACACACACACACACACACACACACACACACACACACACACTGTAGCTGGCCAACCACCTGTGTTACCAGGTTTCAACAAGATTTAATGTATTTATTGAATTATTTTGAGTAAATGTAAAATGAAAGTCAGAGTGAGTGAGAATAAAGACATAGATCATGTTGAGCGAGTGCTTCTACAGTTAATGTAGCAGAAAGCGCTCTGCTCTCTGAGAGCTGTAAAATAATCTGAGCAGCACTGATGCCCATAATAAATGCTGTAATGAAAAGATACAGTAAAGCTGTAAATCGGCTTTAACATTAAATCTTAGTAACCCATCGATTTCAAACACCAAACTATGGTCCCTTAAAATATGATTGATTTACACACAAATAGAAAAGCAAAAACCAAAGTGCATTGTAAGGTGGCCAGAAAGCCTAACTCATCATCTTAAGGGACCCTTGTTCTATCAGTTAATAAACTGATGTAGTTACGTGACTTATTTTATTACATATTTCATTCTATATCCAATATATAACAACAACAACAACAACAACAGCGCAGAGCAACTGAGAGAAACATAAATGAAAAAGATTATTTTATGCGGTCTGTTGTTTCAGAGAGAGTACTTTTAATTAATGATGTCTCTGTATTGTGTCTGTTGTTTTTTTATTTTAGCAATCCTACATACTTAATAGACTTCTTACTTATTCAGTGTTTTATTATTTTGACTTAACTTGACCATCCTTTTTAAAGAGGAATAGCTGCTTTTTTTTAAAGGATTTGTAGGGTTTTGGAATAAATGTGTATATGTGTTACAGTGTTGAATTGTTCCTGTCCTTGGTGGGTACATCACTATACCCACCAGACTCTGCTTCACTTAATATGTCACATTACATAAGATAAAGACAGCATTTCACTGTGAAAGATTGACACCATATTGACTCTTCTGGCTTACCGCCACTGAGAATCTCAATGGAGTGGACCGTAGCTGAAGTTGTGAGGAGGACCTTCCTGCCGTAACCGATGGTAACACGGTGGTCCTCGCTGTGTCCCGGCATCCATGGCTGCAGTCCTGTCTCTTTATCAGGACACACTGCAGGAGACAGAAAACACACCAACATGTCACTTATAACGACACACATGGTGGTGGAAAATATCTAAGTAATTAGATTAAGTAGACTACTTAGTAGAGTTAAGTATTTCCATTTAATGCAACTGTATATATCCATCCAATACATTTCAAAGAGTAATAATGTACTTTTACCACTGAATTAAAAAAGGAGGGAGGCTGTGTGATGCAGTCAGGAGGAATGATATGATGGCAAGCTTTCTACCCAACCTTTGAGTGAGGTCATTTGTGACTTCAGAGGCCTGTACTACGAAGCTGGTTCAACCTAACCTGGATATGTTTGAGTTAGCCGGTTGGCCTAATCCAAAACATACGCGCTCTCGCTAAGCGGTCCTACGACGCGGGTTATCAAGTGGATCGCTCAAGCCAGCCGTGTCCTATCTAGTTAGGTGCGCGTTCACATGAAAGGGGTGGTATCTGGAGCATTCGACCAATCACAAACATGGACAAGCATACTGACAGCGCAGCGTCATACTTCCTGAATGAAAAGTGAACTTTAATACTAGACATATGAAGAAGTTAAACTTTAAACATCCATGACTTAAACACTTGATCCAGGATCAAAGCCACAGAGCTGCACCTGCAAGGTGCATACAGCTGGTAACAGAACAAGTGTTTGAATGCGTACAATAACAGGTTTATGATATCACTGCCCCGTCTAAAACACCATCTGACTTTCATTACATTTGACTCGAGTGTTTCCTCAACTTAATGAGTTGCTTCAAATAATACTTCTGCATACAGTCTGTGACGCTGTGAGTGTTGCACGGCCAGATACGGCTCAGCTGACTCAGATCAGGAGATACATGATACATTATGAAGTGATATGCCGCGGACTGTACTTAATGTTACTCTGATCCGGTTACTTATGTTGTGGCAGATATTTCAGTAAGCTTTCTTAACGCTAATGTTATAATAGTCAGATTGCTCTGAAGATGGGAGGTGATATTCTATTAATGTTCACGTTCACACAGTCGGTGATTTTTGCCGGCCGTCTTTCCTGCAACGGCAGTTTTTCTGTATTTCCTTTCTCCTGTAATATGACTTGATCTCTTTAAACTCTGCACACTGAGCTCTGATTGGTCAGCAGGCGGTGCTTTCACTGAGTTGAGCTCTTAGCCTGCAACCTAACCTGCTCCGGAGCAGGTTAGCCGCACAGCATCAGTTACCATGGAGATCTAGCCCGCTAAAAAGTGAACCAGCGTCGTAGGACCGGAAACCCAGAGTTTTCCCTGAAGTTAGCCGCTAAGAGAACATCCTGCTTCGTAGTACAGGCCTCTGGTGTGGTCAGACAGAGTGTTGCACTTACCACCTGAATTATTTAGATATTTGTTACTACAAGTGAAATGGTCCTTTTCCTGCAATTCCCCTTCCTAATATCCTGACCTTTTTGTGGTGTGGGTTGGGAAATAGCTAATGGTTGGGTCTCCCAAAGCAAACACCATGCAATAGAAAAAGGGTCCACATTACATAAATCTAAATCTAATATGATTCAGAACCAGTCCTTTTCAGAGCCATGGTGAGGGAGAATGAATTGCCGGTGCACGTTGTTCATGGAACTCAAAAGACTGTTTCAAACTTTTGCTTAATATCTTGGTGTCAGAGATTATAATTGAACTGTGCCTGTGACTAGGCCTATGTTCAACTTATTGTATTATTATTATAATAATAATAATAATAATGTTTGCCTTAATGATGGTTAAAAGGATGGCGTTTTTTATTTATTTAGTACTTGATTGCATGAGATGAAGAGCTGTTTTGTTTGATTTATGTTAGACTGTTTGTGTGCGGACCCCAGGAAGAATAGCCAATGTTAGTGCTAATTGGGATCCTTATAAGGAAATAAAGAAGATTGGCCCCAAAGAAGGAGCCAGACTAAGAATGATTGACAGTATGAATTGGCCAAGAGGGAGCTGCCACTCCTCTCCTCCAACAGGGAAACAGTCGCCCCTCACCAGAGCCAGAACTGGAAGTGGAGCATGTGTGGTTGGTGCCAAGCTCAGCCAGAAATAACTGCTGTGCTGCGGGCACACCACAGGGAGAGGCACTGGGGCTGGGTGCATTGTCAGCCAGGCAGCAGGCGACCCTGAACAAGGGGCTCAGCAGACCCTGGATGGTTGTCCAGGCTCATTTCTTTGGTGGGGAGCAGGGGTTCACTCCTTGTCTACTCTATAACTTTTGCTTTTATTTGTAATTTTTTGAATTTGCGGTCATTTTGCTCAGCTAAAAGCTCAATATTGGTTAGTGACCCAAAAGTAACAAACACAACAATGTACAATAAATAGGTAAATACATGAGCAAAAAAATAAAATAATAAGTAGAAGAACAAATAGAGCAGTACATGGGTTGTGTGTGTTACGGCTAAAAGACAAACACAAAACCCGGCATGGATTATACAAAAGCCCGATCGAACAAGTGCCTTAACAATTTCCAGGTTTCTTTAAACTGCTGTTCCTGAAGTTTCAGGGAAAAGGTGTTTCTTTCCATTGTAAATACTATACAAATACTATCACTTTTTCAGCTATTACCTACATTGGGATAAGATAGCACACAAGGTTATTAGGCTGCTCATTCCAGAGTAAGAGTGATTGATGGACCCATTTGGTTTGTGTCTGTTATTGTCAGCACAGAACTGAGATGCTGCGTGTAACCATCCAGTGTGTCCAATGGAGGTTTCATCTATTGCTCTCAAGTGTGTGTGGTTACCTCATCTCCCTCTCACCTAATGGATCCGTCAATGGCATTGAGTGGCCAGAGACCTGAATGGTGGGGCTGATTTCCCAGCGGGCTAACAGAGTGTTGGCTGCTGACGTGCAATCAAACGGAGTGACGGCTGTTTGGCCCTCCAGACCTCAGAATGTCTGTGGAGGGTGTCTGCTGTCCTGCAATGACTCGTATTCCTGTGCATACTGACGGCTAGTCCACATGTACAGGTCTTTTTAAACCAACAACATCATCTCTGACCCCAACCATGACCTGAACAGTAAGAATGAGTTGTTCCCATCAAATCGGAGATACAGGGTCCCACGATTTGATGAGGTTGTCCTGCAGCATTGTTTTGTGCACCAGTCAATCCTCAAAATAAATACTGATTGAAATCCCTGATCTAATGTACGGGTCTTGAGCATGTTTCTCTTCAGTGATCTTGATGCAATGCTAAATGTCTGTTTCCTTCTTTCTTGTCTTAAATATTTGTCCTTTTTAATGCTGGAAATGGAGTATTATCGTATCGTAGACCCTATTCTGCTTTTTGGTTCTTTTTCCTTTCCTGTAGTTCCATTATAGCTCAGGCCTTTGTCAGATGGTATATTACGCAGGTTTTTTTCTGCTTGGAATAGTTCTCTCTTTTTTCACCATACCTGTGTTTGCATCACTGAAACCAATGAGCACCTGCATGTGTATGAGAATGGCCCTGACACCATTTCAGCCCAGATCTAAACTCCTGGCAGGACAAGCTCCAGCTCAACTCTCGCACTGAATAAAACAAAGTGAGTGAGGGACTACAATATAAGAGGGAAAGAAAGAGAAACTTTGAAACTGTTCAATTGTTATGATGTGTAAAGACTGATATTTTTCTATAATCGTCTGAAACTGTTAAGTCATGATGTGAAACGGTTAACAAAGAAAAAGGGAAACTCAAGCTGCTGCTACACTTTATTTTATTTATCTAAAATTAAGCACTTTTAAGATGCACATATTTTCAAAAGCTATTTTATTTATTTTCTCCTATTTTATTTGTAAATGCAGCCCGAGAGGAACATTACACATATCCACAGTATTTACTGTATATCTGTGTAGTTCAATGTTAATAGACAATAAATATTGTTGTTTATGAATTGTACTTTCTTTATTTGATTGGCAGTCAGTTGTTGATTACATGCAGACGTTGATAAAGCTACAGCTACTTCAATATCACACTAATTCATAACTTAGACATTTTGAAGTTCCTGACCTTTGCATGGGGACATTTTCTCTAACTGGACCTCGTTGAGTTTTAGTTGAATACCCCTGCTCTAGAGTTACCACTTTCTAATCCACATTGTTCTGCTTATATTTCAATGTACCTTCATTTGAAGCATGGATATAGCGGAACACACCTATACAAACATAACGTGAATACCAAAGGCATAAGATTTCATCCAGCCTATAAAAGTTCCTCATCAGCAGATATTCTCATGCACAATTCTGTGTGAGTGTCTGAACTCAGTTCTTTGATATCTGTGGCTGCAGGTTGCTGGAGTGTTTTACGATCACACAAAGTACTGAGCCTGAGCTTCATCAGAAACCATCAGCACAGGTACAGTGAGTCAGGGAGAATCATATTGCAAACAATACATTAAGAAAAATAAAGACTTCAAAGCATTACACCTGGTTTTTTCGCTTTAATCACAAGCAATATAAGGATAATAACTGAGCGTAACATAGCAAGTCAAACCAAAATAAGTTGGAAACTGCCTAAAGTCATCATAAGTGGCTTCAGTAAGAGAAATTCAATATTATTGAATACAAATACATAACTTGAGAATCCATGAGAGGACAGCACTCAGGTAAACTGGTCACCAATATATTTAAATGTATTTAATCTTCAGAGTCAATAAAAGGAGAGTTAGGAGAGAAACTCCCTCTGGAGGGAACACAGGGATTTTAGCCTCTGCAGAACATTTACATGCACACAGACCTATAGAACACACTACAGGAGAGGGAACACCCCGATGACATGATAGGGCCTCTTTAATGTCACTATAGGACTGTATCTATATGTTCTTTAAATCATCAGAATTAGATTTCTGATGTGACATTGATGTATTTTGGCTGTTTAACGTCCAAATATTTTTGACTATAAAAGCACAAGCTGTGTTCTTCTGGTGGGACGGGCTAAACGCAGAAGGGTGGAGAGCTGCAGGCTGTATTTTCCAATATTGGATTTTCTTTTCTTTTTCCAGAGAACGGCCTGCCCAGGGACACTCTTGAATTACACATTGCTGAAAGGTTATTATGGAACCTTGTCCCAGCTATAGAGAGCCGAAGTCCCTCCCTTTCCGGTGATCCTCCATGGGACCTTATTTCGGAAACAATATGTATTGTAGTCAACGGCGAGAGAGAAATTATCTTTCGATCCTGTTTGAATTGTGCCATGAATTACACATAGATGTTTGTCAATTTAAAAGATAATTTTGCAAGTCAAGAAAAAATCAGTTTGTCGTAAAACTGTGAATTAACACATATTTGTGTGTGAAACCGCTCAATGAACTACATCTCTGGTCTCACACAACACACGTCACCATCACCAGAATGAGGTGAAAAGTATTAAAGGAGGTGGAAATCATTACACGTCTGGGCATGTTGAGAGCTGCTATTACACAAAAGGGGAGTTAGTCGGTTCCGTAAGAGCCAGCATGCGGGACCGGCTGGATAAGGTTTCGGTGAGTGTTAAACGAGTGTAATGTGTAACGTTAATGTCAGCTACAGTAGATAACATTAGCTAACAAGGTACACTCCCGTGTTTTGTTTTAGCAACTAGTTTTCTCGTTAAGAACTGCGTGATCGCTGTGTATGCTGTGGATAACATTAGTGTTGGCAAGGACAAGGTACACATAAAACTAGTTGCTTTTTGTCAAGTGCTTTGACAAAAAATCCATAACAAAATATCATCTGTGGAAGCCGTAGCGCTGTAAAAAGCACGACCAATCATCTGAGCCGGCTAAAGTAACTGGATGGCCTACCTGCCTGTCAGCCTTCCATCTGGGCACAAACTTATCTCGTGCCCTCATTGGTCATGTGCGCGTTCGTGTGTGTTGGAGGAGGGGCTCTGTGAGGAAGTGGAAGATTTTTTTCCGGCTGTGTATTTTCAAATTCTAGCGCACTCGAGCTGGTTTCTCCAAAATTACCTACAAGTAGTTTGTCAGGCTTAATATGTATCTGTATCAATCAATCAATCAATGTTTATTTATATAGCCCAATATCACAAATGTTACATTTGTCTCAGTGGTCTTCACAGTGTGTACAGAATATCAGTATGACAATACGACACCCTCTGTCCTTAGACCCTCTGTCCTTAGACCCTCTGTCCTTAGACCCTCACATCGTACAAGGAAAAACTTCCGGAGAAAACCCAGTTTAAAGGGAACATGGGAGAAACCTCAGGGAGAGCAACAGAGGAGGGATCCCTCTCCCAGGACGGACAGACGTGCAATAGATGCCGTGTGTAAATCAAAGAGATAATACATTTGCAACATAGGTAGTCCAAATGTTTGGAAATGCATGTGTGTATAATAGGAAGATGAATCCACGAGGATATCCATCCAGGACCTATGATCCAGGACCACAGCCACGACTCAAGATCCAGGGCTCGGGATGCAGGACACAGGACCGCAGGATGTAGATACCCCCCAAAGCTTTTTTCTTATTTAAGGCGAGACACCCCAGGTGAATAGGGTACTTTTTTTTAACTTAAAGGTATCAGCTAGACATTTCTCCAGTTAATTACTTACAATAAGGCAATTGTTTGTTGTATTACAAGTGTTCTGAAATAGCATGTTTAAATATGCAAATTATCCATTATCTCATTAAATATGCACATATTTTAACACATTTCAGGAATCGAAATCTGAACTTTGGATAAAGCCAGGTTCAAAATTCTCGTTTCATTTTGTAGTCATATTAGCATCTAAGGCTTTTACAGAAGGGATTTTGGATATCTCTCTTTATCACTCCATAAATCAGAAAATACTGTCAACAGCCCTAAAATATCCATTTTTGCCATGTTTTTAGGTATACAATGTTGTATAATTCAGGCTATGAATGACATATGAACAAACCCTTCTGTAAAAGCCTTCATAATATTGATAGGAATATAACTGGAAGGTTTGGTGTATGTACGTGCTACTGAAGTGGACATTTCGAACTCAGAGTAGATCCCCCAGTCAGAGCTGGTTGATGTCGCCAGGGAAAAGAAAGTTTGGGGCTCTCTGCTGGAACTGCTACCCCCGCGACCCGACCACGGATAAGCGGGAGAAGATGGATGGATGGATGGACTCAGAGTAGGAGAAAAAACTCATTTTGAGAAACCGACCTTTAAAGATTGCAGTGAGGTGCTAGCTGTTCTTTGGATGACAGCTTGCGCCTCGACGCACTCCGTGAAGGTATTTCATGTTCGGGGTCATTTGTGTTTTTTATAATCTTGCTTTGTGCAAGTGACAATTGTTGTTGTCTTCTCTGTGAAAGTTTTTTTCGCCGTTCTTTTGCCATTTTGAGATTTAAATTTCTAGCTGAAAGCTAACCAGGAAGTGTTTTAGCACATCACGTGACGCATCTGAACGAATCACGTTGTCAGAAATTGACACCAGCCAATGAGATTTCGTTTCTTGGTTTAAGACCCCTTTGTACTTTCACGATTGGTTGCTGATACAAAGGAAATGACCATATTTGGATCTGATGAGATTGTGCAGGAGAGACGGAGCTTTCCAGCGATACCTCTGATGACATGGTGCACACAGTGTTAGTGTTAGTGTTGATACTACAAGGAGAAGTATTGTGTGAAGAGAAATGTAAGATGTTGTTTAATTGTTGATATATTTATGATCCACGTCAAGTATTCAGTTTCGGCGGCATTTTCTCAGTTTTTCCAAAGGTCTTCTCATCAGAGATCTATAAATAAAGAACTACGGCAGATCTGTAATATGTAATGCAGCCGAACCGTGTATTACAATGCCGTTATGTGATGACTTTCAAAGAGAAAAGCAAGAACACTCGGAATTAAGTATTATTATTTTTTTTGTAAATGTTTTTCGGATTTCATATCATATAAACACTCAAGTACAAGATCTGAGTACTTCTACTTTTACTCAAGTACCAGATCTGAGTACTCCTCCCCCCTCTGGAAAGCAGAGATGAGACTCAGAAGATGTCCTGACTCACCTGCGTGGCTGCTGGGCAGCAGCAGAGCTGCCAGGATCAGGCAGCACGTCTTCATCTCTCCACCGCCGCTGACCTGAAGCCTTCAAAGGTTGCTGCAGACCTCCCAGTGAGCGTGGGGTCACAGTGGGTGTGTTGAAGTCACAGTGGGAGGACACCAAAGGCACCTGCAACATCACATTGAAATGCAGAAGACTCAGCATGGATAGGTGACTGTCTGGTGTACAGGCGAGCAGGAGGTCTGGTTCTAATTCCTGCTTTAAGCTTTATCTTCAAATACATAATGACAGACTCCTACTGAAAGGGAGCAGGGTTGGGAGGATTACTTTAAAAAAGTAATTCCACTACAAGTGACGTGTAAAAAAAGTAATCAGTAATCTAACCTTAGTATACAAATATAAACCTGATCACTTTACAATACAATTACACACATACGCCCCACAATACACACACATTCTCAAACACGAGCTTTAGTGATGAAGAGGTGGTAGAGCCAAAGGGCTTCCACCACCAGGAGAAATGGTGAAAAAACAATATTTTTGGTCCTATCGAGACTGGAAGCAGTGAACCTTCGGTCGGCAAGCCAAGTCCCTACAGACTGAGCTACAGCAAACCCATATGTGTATGAAGACAACAGAACATTGTGACCTTAGAAAAACAGAAACCAGGATATTTAGGATCAGAAATGATATTATTGATATGAAGACCTGCCTTTCATTCAGCAGATTCAGGCAGCAGCCAATACACTGCCACCGTTTACAAAATAAAAATAAGAAATCAAATCTGAACTGACAGAAAATGCTCCGTTTCAGTTGAATACACACAGTTAAGCTCTCACACAAAATGTATGAACATACAGGTTCACCTGCTGAGTTAAAAACAGAACAAATGAACAAAGAAAGTGAACACCATGAAGCAGATTCAGGCAGTAGAAGTATAGATTCACACTCAAAGTATTATCCTACAGAACAGTACAGCTCTAAGAGAAGAGATCCTTTACAACAAACACTATATGATCTTTTAGGTTTGAATAACACTGTTATCCTGCTAGTGATCCCAATGTTTTGAAATGTAACAGTAATCTGATTACATATGTTTCCATGTAACTGTAAGGGAATACGTTTTGTATCATATCCTGTTACTTGTAATGTGTTTCTCCCCAAGGCTGTGTGACAGTGTGGTCTTCAGAGCTGTTCTATTGTCAGTGACTTATCACCAGGCATAACAGTGAGCTGTTACCAACCAAGCTGACTTGTCCTTTTCTGCCTCTCATGGCATTGGAGAGGTTGCTCTATTGCCCTTCAATATCCCATGCACCGTTCAGCATAGTTAATGCTTACAAGTATTTTCAATGTACACAGTAATAATAAGTCTTCCTAATTTTAGATGTACCTGTTTGTGGAAAGATACACTTTTAAATGGAGTTTGTAACATTTTGCAATAGTATATTCAACCTTATTTTGTATGTCTTTTCGATACAATTTGAGAAAATTGTACAAGTATTACAAGTATTATGGATGCAGTATATTGTATTGTTTGGTTTAAAGTCTTGGTGTGGCCTGCAGCCATCAGGTCCAGCACTGATAATGACGAAGCTATCAGCCATGTCATGTGCTAAGTCTAAGAAACTTTAAGCACATTTTTGGACAGATAAAAAAAGTACAAATGTTTCCTGATCTGCAATTTACGAACAGCACGCGATATTATAATCTGTTGTTTCAAAAATCCTCACCAACCCTGATCCTCGAATGGCTGCTTTTAAAAAACACACTCACAAGGAGTTTCCTGCCAAGCTGGCAGCGAGTCTCCCTGACCGCAGCTACATTAAGAAAGTTAGTCAATCACGGCATTAAGCATTTTGAATGACTCGTTTAATGACTGAACAATGTTTACTGCAGTTGGATTCATGGAATGTAGTTGTGCCGTGTGAAGATTCCGTGGCCTCCAGAAAAGCGGCTGAATTGCTGCAAAGTGAGCAGCTTCCTGATGCACGCTTTGATTAGATTCAATTATCTCAAGCTGCCATGTGGAGAGCTCAGAGGAAGAAACGCTGTAATAATGAATCATCAGTTGTTTTATCATGCAATTAGCTTGCTGTGTGTACTGCTGGTGACAGAGAGGGGGGGTGCAGTCAGCTGTAGGGTGCTGGCCTGCACCATGCATGTTCTCTCCTAATGAGACACACAGCCTCATCTTTTATTCAGCTTGTTTGCTTGTCCCTCTATAATTCTGGCCAGCATACTTGACCTCTGTCCACACTACATTTCTCCCAGGTCAACTCCTCTGCATTTCAATATGAGTCATGCTCTTCTCTTCCCCAGCAGCAGATCCATCCCTGAGCTGCAAAAGAACACTCATTTGTAAACAAAGCTACCTCTTTAAATATCTGGACAGCTTTCCACTTTTCATAACAATATTGCACATATTTGTTGTCATATTATACAGTACAAAGTAGGGCTGTGCAATTAATCGTATTTTAATCGCGATTACGATTATGGTCTGCGACGATTAGGAAAACAGCATAATTGACAAAATACGATTATTTAGCTGGGTGCGCTTTCGCCCCTCCCTAAAAGCCCACTCGGCCACGTGGGAGTGACATGTGTTGTGAGTGTTCAGCGCAAGCGAAGATGTCAGAACAAGAGCAGCAACTAGTTAAAAAGAAGGGTCGCGGGGAGATTCCCAGTCGATCGCGAGATGTCTAAAAATAGAACAACAATATTCTGTTTTATCGTTAATGTGCTGTAACATAATGTTCCCGTGCCAGAATAATGCACTTGAACGCATCAAAGCTTTGTGATTGGCCGGCGTGACCCCATGTGTCGGGGCGTGGCTGGTGAGCAGTGCACTAGTTCGCTGACGTTGTCCGTGTCAACAGCATGGATGGTCAACAGGAGTGACAGTCCGCACACACACAAGACCGCAATTATGGCAGAAGCAAAAAAGCCCAAAATATATAATTTTCACTCCGAGTGGGAGGATGATTATTTTTGTATCTATTCCAATTCAAAGTCCATCTGTCTCATCTGCAATGCGAGCGTGGCTTTATCGAAGAAGGGTAATTTAGGAGCGGCATTTCAAAACAGTGCACAAACGCTACGAGACGGAATTCCCTCCTAATTCTGCCCTACGCTCCAAAAGGGGAGGGGCCTGAAAGGACAGCTAAATGCACAGCAGTCCATTTTCACCAGGCCCAACAACAAGAGCAAGGCTGCTACCATAGCATCTTATCAGGTCAGTCACGTTCTTGCGAAACACATGAAGTCTTTCAAAGACGGCGAAGTTGTGAAAGAAGCATTCCTGGAGGCTGCCGACGCGCTTTTGGGGGACAGTAAAAATAACAGTAGCATTTCAACAGGTTTTTGATATAATAAAAACTCAAGTTAGATACCGTTATTAATCTGCTGTAAGTTTTGGTTTGTTTGAATTTATTCATTATAATTATTGTACAAAATGGTATAAGAATGCAAACATTAAGATCTGTTCTGTTTAAATTGATTATAGTCTATCAGTTCAGAAACTAGTGTTGCTTGCATCCTATTTTAAAGGCATTTCTTTTTATACTCTAATAAAATGCAACAAAAAAAGGGTTTGATTCTATTAATGTTGTCTTTTTTATTGCACTGTTGCAGCAGATTCCTGTGTAGCTTCAGATCTGAGTTGTCTTATTAGTAAGCCTAATTTATACTTTTGTAGCAACACTATTTTTATATAATGACAAAGAAAGGGTTCTTCAGAGTCTTTTCTTTTTTTCCTGTGTCATGTGGCAGCACTGCCACAAGTTCCTCTTCAGAGAGGGTCTTCAGTACAGGTGGCAATATTGTCACCTGCCTGCGCTCATCTCTGAAACCAGACCATGTACACAGGCTGGTATTTCTTGCGAACAATCTTTAAGAGATGACATGAGCAGCCCTACCAGCATTTGCCATGGTGGCCTAAACATTTTTATTTGGTCTTAAATTGTAGTTCAACATTTATTTCCTGTTACTTCTGGACCATGACGGTTGGCCAGCCTTCAGCGTTTAACTGAGTGGAATATGTTGAATATGTTTTACCAACATGTTGGCTATATGTTAAGGAGTTTTCAGTAGGTTGTGACAGTGCACTGCAACATATTTGATTTCATTTATTTTGGTCTAATTAATTTTTATTTATCATATTAATATATGTTTAGTATGGTTTTGGAAGTGCGCTCCAACACATTTATTGATCTTGTTTATTGGTAAAATATTATTTGTTTTAAAGTTCAATAAATGGTCAATGAATAATCGTCAAAATAATCGTGATATCAATTATTGACCAAATAATCGTGATTATGATTTTTGCCATAATCGCACAGCCCTAGTACAAAGTATTTTGGTATCTATATTTCATGTTAATATTTCTCTATATTTTAATGTTATAATAGTTTTTATGAAATTGTTTTTGATAATAGGCAAGGAAAGGCAAGGCTGAAATGTGGGCTTTTGAAAGCAATAATATGACATTCAACCCATTTAAACTAAATAATGATTGCTTTCAACGTACTTAATATAGTTATCTGAATTCTGTAGACAGAATACATTTAATTAAAGTCCAGTTTTACACCAAGGCAAATTCTTCGTTTGTTTAATGGCAATAAACCTGATTCTGAAAAGATTCATTCAATTGCCACTTCAGTCAATATGTGTGTTCTGGTCACAGCTACTGCAGATTGAATGAGCTAAACTGCTGTGTTTATTTCATCCGGTTTGTTATCTTCTGTTTTTAAAATGAATCATGAAGAGTTGTTTTGGTCCTGTTCCACACAGTCGCTAAGAACAAGAGTATTTACATTTCACACCGCTTAGAGATGGTAGGAATATGATTGCTGTCATAACATGTTTTACACAGCGCTATCAAGAGGACCAATGCACCTGGACCACCCTCTCTACTAAGTCATCTCCACACAGTCCTTGAGATGAAATCAGAGTCAATCAAACTAAGATGGCTGTGGGCGCAGTGGCAGCATTTTACAATTAAAATGGCTCCTTCTGCTTCACTGTATAGAAATGATAGTGAACGCCGCCCTCAGTTGCATTATTGGATTTTTGTATTAGCATAATCCTTCATTGAATTGAAGGAAAACTATGTGGATGTGTCTGTCTTTCTAATACATGTGTTACATTTGTTTGCCTGCTTATGTTCT